CTATCTATCTATCTATCTATCTATCTATCTATCTATCTATCTATCTATCTATCTATCTATCTATCTATCTATCTATCTATCTTTTTTGAACCTTCGTGGCAGAGCATCCAGGCATTGCCACACAGGCCCTCATCTTGAAAGAGATGCAACTTATTTTTCCCAGAAAGGTACCGGGTGGGCCTTTTTGGCTACACAAAAGAATTTGGGTCGTAAATCATTGGGGGAAAATTAGTCGGTTTCAAAAACAAAACAAACCTGACATTTCTTAGCTGCCTCTACTAGAATTGTCAGTAGCAGCTGGCAAAGTGCACACACTAAGCAGAAAGATAAATACCAAGAAAATTTAGTCTTGGCTTGCCATAGATTTAAGTCAACAAGGCAAAATAAAATAAATTACACAGCACAGACCGATCTGCACTTGAATGAGTTTCGGATATAAATCTCAAGGAAGTGCAGTGGCTTCGGGTTAAAAACTTGAAACTGAGCCCTTTTTCCTCAATATTTGACTCAACATACGACCACAATCAACATTTCCATTGCTAAGCAAAGTGACTGTTAAGTGAATCATGTCCGATTTTATCACCTTTTTTATCATGACTCTGGGACGTTGTAACTGTAGTAAATGCACACACCAGTTCCCAAGCACTTGAATGTTGGTTGCATGACTGTGAGGTTGACTGCAATGGTCATAAGTGCGAGGACTGGTTATAAGTAACGTTTTCCAGTGCGGTTGTAATTTCAAATCATTGCTAAACAAATGGTGATCAACTGTGGACTGCTTGTGCCTGCATGTGTACTGTGTGTGCTATTAAAAAAATCACATCCTGTAATAGATGAATATCTTAATGCAACAATCTTGATAGGTCTTTGGAATTGATAAAAGGGGGAAGTTTTAGACTCCTGCAGGAGGTGGATAGGCTTAATATACAATCGTGGCTTATTCAATACATTGCAGTTAAACCAGGTTCCAGTTTGATGCATCAGCCTTTCCATGTTCTCTCTTTTTGCAATTTCAAGCTTATTGGGCTTCCAAGTTACACTTTAGCAGAATGGGCTGAAAAATACCACGGTTCCTTCCTCCCCCAGGTCAGCCTGTCTGCATCTTTGATCCTCGGCCATTGGGACGCTGCCCAACGTCCAAGTAAACATTCAGAAGACTTCAATGAGAAAGGGATCCCAGGCCTATGGAGAACTCCGGATCCAAATTTGGACTCTGTATTCCTGGCATCGTTCTGACGCCACCCCCACCCCCCTCTTGAGTTCAGAGGGGCTTCAAACACTGCTTGGTTGTTTTTAGTCCCTTACAAACCATGTTAGTCTTGGCCAAGTCACAAAATCCAACTTCTGTAGCCGATAATGTCAAATCTGTACAATAAACAGGCTGGAGGCTCTGTGGAGCCGTGTGCAGGGTGGCTTAAGAGATAAGCTCTGGTTTTGCCCGGCATCTTTCAGGTTATCTGATTGGTTGACAGACATGGATCAAGGTTTATCTCAAAGGGATGCTGCTTCAGCAAAATGCCTCCCAGTTAGAACAAATTGCTGGTTGTAAAGCATAAGGCAACCAAGGTGGATAATCTGTAAAAGATTGGGTTGCGTCCTGGCATGAAATGAGACAGATTTTTTTTCCCCACATTCGTCTGCGTTGTTGCTCTTTGGGAATTTTGAAATGCTTTTCTCCAATCTATTGCTAGGATGGGAAGACTGGTTTTTGCAACTGGGACTGTCTTTTAAAAATGGATTTTCTCCATCCGAGAGGACTGAGTGAAGTTTGGGAATGACCATTGTGGAACTGTGCTGGAATTTTTAACTTTTATTACATGCTTTGGGAAGAGTTGGTTTTTTTGTTTTTTGGTTTTTTTAGCAGAAAGAAGATGGGTGTGTTACGCTTATTGGTTCCATGTAAAATATGTTTGGGGGCAAAATTAGCCCAGATTTATTTTGGAATAAAAAGCAGAGCATAATTTTGGGAAACATAGCATAGCATTAGCTAAACTTTAGCTAAAAGTAGCTTAAAGTGAGCTAATTATTTGGAAACATGGCATAAAATTAGCTACATTTGGGAAAATCAGCATAGCATTAGCTGAACTTAGTTTAAAGTTAGCTAATTTGGGAAAATTGGGATAAAAATTAGGTCAATTTGGGAAAAGTAGGTAATTTTGGAAAAGTTAGCATACAAACATAGTTTGTCGTTTTGGAAAAATGAGCAAAACTTCACCTTATTAAGAACTGGCCATTGGCCACTAATTGCATAAACCACATTTCAGTTCAATGGGTCTAGAGTTTACAGTAAAAAAAGTGGGTGATAAATGGGAAATTTGGGTCTCCTAATTTTATGACTCTTTGAAATCTGCATTTAAAGATTGGAGGGGGTATGAACATATTTCCAACTTTATTATTATTATTATTGTATTTTATATCAATGTTTTTTCTTCGTTAATTATATATCACAGTCCCCAATGAATATCGAAGTGGTATTTCAACCTTCTTTCATCCTCACAAAAATTCTGAAAAGCTTTGGTTAAAAATGCCGATGAATAATGAAACCTAGTCTTTGTTTCTCTCTGTCTCTCTTTTTTATGTTTTGCTTTCCTCAGGATTTTTCTATAATTCCTCCCCCCACCCCCATTTCAACAAATTGGCAACCAACCTTTGGCTCTCCTGCACACCATTTTCAGAGTCAAGAACTATGCTAGACAATTTTAAAGGGTCTTTGAGGTGAGTATTGGCCTCCTCCCTCCCACCCACCCTGTCCCCCAACTTTCCCAAGATGACTTAATGTGTACAGGTGGTCCTCGACCCATGGCCACAGTTGAGGTCAAAATTTCTTCCTGTTAAGTGAGACATTTGTTAAGTGAGTTTTGCCCCCATTTTATGGGATATTGATTGCAAGGCATAAATCTTTTTTTTCTTGAGACCTGGTTGTCTTCCTGTGCTTGTTAAAGTAGAACAAAGATAGCCAAGGGGTTTTCAAATCTTTATAAGGAATGTGTGACTCACTAAAAATTCATTTCATTGTCTGGGTTGGTAAGGACAATATTGATGGGCTGGTCGGACTGGTTTTGAATATTATAACTGTTTCAGAGATCTCATTATAGAGGCTGTTGGTGCATTTGGTCCTCACTTATTTAACTGTGAACTTAAATTGGCCAGCACCTTTCAGCGTAAGACAAATTGGCTTATGTTCTTTCTTTGACCCAAATTTTGAGACCAGTTTTCTCCAACCTGGTTGATGTGGTCAGATGTGATTAACACTCGAAAGGGAGATTTCTAGATGGAAGATTAGACTGGGAAGTTAGAACCACATCCGGAAGAAAGCCATGGCAATTCATTTCCATATTATTTCCACAAAACAATACCGTACATCCATGCCCACGTAGCCATCAGCCAAAATCAAAGGAGACCTTGACCTCACTGCTTACTCACCCAATTTCTTAAGGACACAGCAAAATCAGATTTACTTTTGGAAGCAGGGAGGGAAGGATATGCTCCAAAACTTTAATCTGATTGCAAAACTATGCTGGCTAGAAATGAATGCATTTTTTTAATAGCATTGCTCTTGATTACGTCCAGCTTTTATTCACAAACATTTGGCAGGGATTGACGCCTCCCAGATTGAAAGCCATCCTTGATGTCACTTCTACAAAAATCTTGGCAGCGAAATCCATTCATATTCTGTTCCAAAATATCCTGCCGGTTTTATTTATTTATTTTTTTCCCAGTTTCACTTGGCTGTTCGGGCTTCCTGCATTCTAACGTTGCCAGCTTGCAGCAAACCCCCTGTAGAATAGAAAGAATCTATTTTTGCAAAGATGGGGAACAGAAAAAGTAAAAACACATAGGAAGAAGGTACAAATTCAGACACGGCAAACCAAGCAAGGAGCCATAAACGCAAAGGATGCAAAACATAATTTGACTTGGCATAAAATAATAATAATGCTTTTTTTCCCCAAACAGCAAATAAGAAAAATAATTGCTAGGTGTGGCAAAGGGAGAGATTTATAGGAGATAGAATACAAAGTGCCTGACTCTTTGCTCAAAACAGAAAATCGATAGCAGTTTTGTAAGTTGAGTCTGACATGCATTGTTTTCCATCTGGGCTTTGCATATAAATATTTGCATCACACATCCAAGCCAGGATGATTGTATTTTCTTTGAAAAATGGTTAGAGTCAATCAGATTTGTCTATGGACTTTCTCAATTATCCAGGTCATGGTTGTCCCAAAGGTGCTTTCTTTCTTTCTTTTTCCCCCCCAAAAAGGTAACTGAACTGTCTTCATTTTTTCCTTGAAAACATTTCACTTCTCATCCAAGAGGCTTCCTGGATGAGATCTGAAGAAATTTCATGGATGAGAACTGAAATGTTTTCAAAGAAAAAAACCCAAGAAAGTCCAGTTGCCTTTTGGGGGGGAGGAAGCATCTTTGGGACAACCATCAATCAGATTGTTGGATATTTGAAGGACTTTTAGCTTTGGAATGAAAATGTTTATTCTGTGGGCTCCTTGGTGCTTTCTGTGCTTAGCTGTTTTCATGATCCAACTAGGTAATACCACCAGTGCTGTGGGTGTGCACCCTGTGGCCTTTGGGTGGTGGTGGGCAAACCTCAAGGATGGGCCATTTACACATTTAACCAGAAAGTCGTTGTTGGGTTGTCTCCCTCGTGAAGCAGGAAAGTCAATGACAAACTCTTTTGCCCTGCAGGATTCTGAGTTCCCTAGTCGTGTTTGGATTTCAGCTGGTCATTCCACAGACTTCCATTGAACACAGAAAGGTAAGAGCTGTGTGTCATGCAAGGAACCGGCATGTCCTGTATAGGAGAGTTTTGCGGCTCTGTGTGCTTTAAGGTCCTCCTAAGAGAGTTTGAGCAGCTAGCAATGGTCCATTCAGTAGCTCTTAAAATGCTGAAATGTTAGCAAAGTTTGCTATACAGCAGGGGTCTTCAAACTTGGCCAATTTCAGACTTGTGGATTTCAACTCCCAGAATTCCTCAGCCGGCGTGCCCGACTGAGGAATTTTGGGAGTTGAAGTCCACAAGTCTTAAATTGGCCAAGTTTGAAGACCCCTGCTCTATAGCTTCACTTTTAGGTGTGCATTGCTTCAAACCTTGACCTTGACGGATTTTCATCCATTATCCTGACAAGCAGTCCTTGACGTATGACCACAACCATAGCTCCCATCACCTAGTGATGTGGTCCTTATCTGAGCCATGTCTGATTTTATGACCATTTTACTACAGTCATTAAGCAAATCACTGCAGTCAATAAGCAAGCTACGCTGTTGTGATCTGGATTTAGTGTGTTTAGGATATAGTGCCCAGATTAAGCCAAGCCCAGGCTTCAGATGGTGTGTCAATCGAGCTGGTGGCATCTTTGGGAGAAGCAAAGCCAGCATCTTTTTTTTTGGTCCTGTCTCCAGGCAGCCTCTTAAGTGCAAAATCTGATCCTGACTTGAAATTCCATTTCAGTTGGAGCAAGAAGCTCAGCTTTTCAGCAACTGTCTGATCTGGCTGCTTAATCCTTATTTGAATGTAACTGTTTCTCTCTCCATCATCCTTCAGAATCCACCTTTTGTGGGTGAGCAAAAGGCATTTATGTCCTGAAGGCACATCAACACCCATGCTGGCTTTCATCTTGGTTGGGGTGGGGTGGGATGGGGAGGAGAGGAGAGGAAGCCACGGCCAGGCGCTCATGGCTGGGAAACGTAGCCTTTCCTTCAGAGGTTGCCGAGCCTTGTCAGCTCCATTGTTCTGGAAGAATCGGAGCGCCACGCCGAGGCTTTAGCCTTTGTTTTCACTGTTTGGGGTTTTTTTGCACGGGTTAAACAAGGTCACCAGCACTGGAGCAACTTTGATTTTTAAAATGTGTAGAGTCTTGACTTGCTTCCTGTTGCTCAGCCAGGCTGATCTCAGTTCCCCACAGCAGATCACGGTTTAAATCAGGTCATTCTTTGGTGGAAAGTGTTTTCCTTTTGATGACCAACTGAGGTAGTTATTTATCCGGTCTTCTCCATGTGCAACCAACCATGATGAGAGAACCTAGTTTTGAAGCTCCTAACTCTGCCATTAAATAACCATCAGCAAATAAAACTAAAGAGAGAAAACATGGTCCTGTCTCAAGCTTTGCAAAATGCAACATTTTGAGAAGGTTCTCACTTCTCTAGTAGCTTCAGCTAAAGTTCTACCTCTGCTTTGAGTTCCTTCAGACAGAGAGTTTCCCAAGTTCTTCTCAAAAAGATGAAGCCATTAACTCCACCCCATGTTTTGGAATTGGATCAAGATTATCTTCCTGCCTGCTCAAATTGCTTAATATTGGCAATCCTTGCTGGTAATTCTATCCAAGAGTGGCATCATCTATAAACGAGAAGTGACAGGACAAGTATGTCTTACAATGAGATTTCTTACATTCACAGCAATGAAACAGTTTTAAAATCAGCCAACCACTCTGGAAGAACACATGCCAGGCTGGGTTTTGGCCAGGACTGAACTTGATCCATAGAGATATCAACATGTCTTCAGCCAAAAATGGATTGTGATAAACCAGGTTCTTCTCCTGCTCCCGACCCATATGCTTTCTCTTAAGCATAAACCCACACATGGATATTCTTAAGGTTCAGAGGGGTTCATGTTTGGGTGGAAGAAATCTTTGTCCACTTTCTACATCTGGTTTGACTCCAGCCTTCTCTGTGTGCTCCAAAAGAATGAGTTTGGGAGGTGTTTCAAGGTTACAGATGCATGCAAATCTGGGTGACATTAGTCAAGAGCTGTTTGTCCACTCAAAGTCCTTTAAGACCCTTCAGATGTGGTAGGGCTGGTGATTTTTTCCAGACATTGCCCAGTTTCAGGGTCTCTTCTGCCTCATTTTCCCATGTGTGATTATGTCTTGTTGATAGTTGCCATATGGTTTGGACAAAACAACCTCAACAGTTTTAGACTTGATAAAGAGGACACCCTTGTTTGAGATGTAAGAAGGACTCATATCTCTCCAAATATTCTCTGGATCATCATCCAAAGACAGACATACAGATGGTTAGCTCTATCTATTGAGTAAAATATATTAGAATCTTTGAGTCTAGCTTGGTCAAGAATAACTTTTAGTTAGATAACCACCACTGTTGAGGTCTCATTTTGTATTTGGATTCTTGGAATTATTGTGGCTTCTAATCCCATAAATATTCTCTCTTCAAGGGCTCACACACAGTTTCAACAACTATAGGTCATGTTTTGAGATCTCAATCTTGTTTCTTCAAAGTCTAATGGAAATGGCTTTGGAAAGTAAAATGCTTGTTGATGGCTGTCTTCGAATAGAATATTTGAATAAAAGCCAGAGCTAGAACACACGTTTAGGAAAATGGATGAATGTCTTGAGCAATTATCTCACCATTATTTCCTTCTTAGCATATATATATGATGTTGACTTGGTGAAGGCATAATTCAGAAATGTAGAAACAAATAGTTAAGGGAGAGTCTATTGGGTGGCAATTAATATTGCTTTTAACTATTACGTTTTGGGGTGGCTGTTATTTTGTTTTTAATGGGAAATCTCCAGCGCTGGCAGATAAATAGCCCAAGCTGAATTAATAGGCGTTGATTCAAAATGTGAAAAATGGATTCTAGTTTTGTAGGTCTGCTTAACATTTAACCTCCCTTTCCTGGTTCCTTTCATCACCCTTTAGTTGTGAATCTCATAATTCAGAGGCTGGGAAGTCCAGCAGCAGTCACTGAAAATAGCTGCTGAAGGGTGCAACGTCATACAGATTAGTTATTCTGACTGGCCCCCATCCAAACTGGCCTGTAGGCATCAGCAGGTTGCTGTGTATGTGTGGTCTTTTGCTCCTCTAAGTACCACCGATGATCTTTTAGCACAAGAAGGGCCCAGCTGCCTCTTCCCTGTCCCCAAAGGAAGAGTCACTCAGGTCTGTACAAAGCCCTCTGGTGATCACCAAAGTCTACCTTTGGAGCTGATGCTTTTCAGACCGTGCTTCCAACTTGAAAACCCAAAATATCTGGTACTACCTGCCTAGATGTCCCAAAGATGCTTTTCCAAAAGAAACTTCTTCCATTCTAAAGAAGCTTCTTGGATGAGAAGTGAAGCATTTTCAAGGGGAAAAAACCAAGGAACTCCAGTTGCCTTTTGGAAAAGCATCTTTGGGACAACCAGGACTGGATGATTGAGAATCTCCATAGACATTTACCTGCCTAGATATGTGATGCTTAGAACCTCCTTCTGTGTTGGGGAAACAGTGATGGGTGAGGAGAGGAAGGGTTATTGGCCATTTGGGTTGGCCAATTCCAAATATTCTGCCGGCTGGGGAATTCTGGGAGGTGAAGTCCACATGTCTCAACATTGCCAGGGCTGGACATCCTGGTTTAAAGAGATGCAGATTGGAATTAAGTACGTGGAGTGATGATGGTCTGAAGCACCTTTTTGCGAACCAGTTAGAAGCAGTACATAGCCTTCATCCATTGTGAATACTTCTATTTTGTCCTTCCTAGCATTTCTGGCCAAACTTGCTTTATTTTTGTGCCAAAATTTTAATTGATGGGGAAGGAGAACAAGACAGATTTCGAACAGGACATGTGCTAAAGTCACCCAGACTCTTTGTCCCCCCTCATTTGATGTCATGACTAATAAATGTGGAGGCACATTTCAAAATGGAGAAACATCTGGATTGCATTGACAGGAAAATCTGTGTATGCATGTAACAAATAAAGATGACACTGAATTAGCTTATGTTGTTAGTAACTTTTTGACAAATCCTTCCCTCTTGTCAGGGTCATTTAAACATGCTCAGTAGTTCCCCTTGAGAACAACTTGGGAGGTGTGGTTTGTGGGAATCTGTGATGCCAGAGTGAGGGCTTTGTGTGTTTTTGTGTGTTTGTATTGTGTACTGCTGCTGTGGACCTGTTGCTCGTTGCTGGCAAGCAGAGTTCAAGCTTTTCCTTCTGGATTGTAAAGTGATTCATTCTCCTAATTTCTGAATCTCTCCCAGCTTTGAAACTAAAACTCAGAAAATTCCTTTAACTGATGCAGTTGATTAATTGGGTCACAAAGCGACTCCATAAAATTAGCAGCATCTGTGAGACCAGGAAATCCCACCCCCAGATTCTTCTCTATAAACGTGGTTGGCTAGATCTTCTAGTGTTTCAGCCAATCCAGCCTCCCTGTGGAAGATCAATTCAATTCAAGCAGAATAGAGCTGGAAGGGACCTTGGAGGTCTTCTAGTGCAACCCCCTGCTCGAGTAGGAGACCCTCTACCATTTCAAACAAATGGCTGCCCAATCTCCTTTTAAAAACCTCCAGTGTTGGAGCACCCACAACTTCTGGAGGTAAGTCGTTCCACTGATTAATTGTTCTCACTGTCAGGAAATTCCTCCTTAGTTCTAGGACGTTGATTCTCTCTTGGATAAGTTACCATCCATTGCTTCTTGTCCTGCCTTCAGGTGCTTTGAAAAATAGGTTGGGAACCATTGTGGTAGAGAATTCCAAATTTGAATTACACATGGTGTAAAATAAATTATATTATCTTGACCTAGCCTACTTTGAAAATATGACGTTGCCCCACTAATTCATCTCCTCTGGTTTCCCTTGCAGGTACCCCAAAGGATAAAAGATGGTGGGAATGTTGCCCCAGAAGAAGAGAGCGGAGGAATCCCTGGGGTCTGGGGCAGCTGGGGACCTTGGTCAGCTTGCTCCAGAAGCTGCAGTGGTGGAGTGATGGTGCAGATGCGGCCATGTCTTCCAGGATACTACTATGAGAGGACTTCTCACAAGCCTGGGCAGTTCTCTGCTTCGGAGAGGGCACTGGCTCATATCCAGCAACTGCCTCAAGAAGACTCTCTGCCTCCTTTCTCTGGTCACGTCATCTCAGCCATCCGTACATCGGTTCCTCTTCACAGGAATGAGGAACCACCACGGGCTGCTCTCTCCTCTGGAGGGGGCCGCAATGACAGCCATTGGAGCCGAGCCACCTCAAGAGGGGGTCAAGTTCCTCAGTCTCGGAGACGTAGCCCCAAATCAGAAAGAAGGTAGGTCTTTCTTTCTTTCTTTCTTTCTTTCTTTCTTTCTTTCTTTCTTTCTTTCTTTCTTTCTTTCTTTCTTTCTTTCTTTCTTTCTTTCTTTCTTTCTTTCTCTCTCTCTCTTTCTCTCTCTCTCTCTCTCTCTCCCTTCCTTCCTTCCTTCCTTTCTTCCTTTCCTCCTCCTCCTCCTCCTCCTCCTCCTCCTCCTCCTCCTCCTCCTCCTTGTCTTTTTTCACATTCCTGAGTTCAATTGTAAGGTCCATCTTATGGATGAGTGCAATAAGAGGTCCTTTGGCCCCTTTATTATGAAACTATTCCCCTCCTACATGCTTCTTAGAGACAAATTTGTTTATTTTTGCTTTTAGCTAGTAAATTTGAAGCTTTTTCTTAAATTCTTTAATTGCAGATATGTATTGACAGACAGCATTTTTCTTAATTTGCTTTCTTTCATTCTTACTATGTAAATTAGTTAGACAAGATGGTATTTCTGTTTAAGGTTACAGATAAATACTTCTGGGAAATTACTACATTTCCTCTGGAGTCAAGATGTGTCATCTTCCAAATTTAGGTTGCAGACCGATCGCAAGATGAGCTTCAGAGCAGTCAAGCGTAGACATGTCCCAGTTCAGTTTTATAGCTCTGGGGAGAGGACTTGACATCAAACAAGCTCAAATGCAGATGTCTGCATGCTAGGAGCATTAAAATAAAACCTCTCCCCCACCCCTGCCAAAGGAAAAACAGAAGCAACAGTTCACATGGAACAAATAATGGTAAATAAGGACTCTTCCTCATTCTTGGAAGGAGAATTTATAATTTCTTTTCTTCTGAACATTTTTCCCATTCCTTCTCCAAAAATCTCCCTGGCAACCTGATGAAAAGGGGTTTCAGTGGGGCCACAGATGATCAGCTGGGCCCTGTGCAATCGACTGCATTTTGTTGTCTCTTCTACGATCAATTTCTACATCTCTCCTTTATCTTTGTCTCTCGTCTGTGCTTCTACTTCCTGTACCTCTCTTCTCTATCTCTAAAACTATACCTAAGCCTAAGCCTAAACCCAACTCTACCTCTATAGTAAATAAGTATTTTATAACCTGTCACACACACGGTGGCTGCCATTGGTCAACAGACAAATCCCTCCTTGGCTTCATGAGCAAAACCACAACATCCGGTCACAATTTTAGATATTCTCCAAAGACACAGATATGCGCCTTTGGACACAGGGTTCCTTGAGCGATCTGTCCTATATATGCTATTTCCACCCTGCAAGGATGAATGAAACCAGGAACCTCTGGCGTGGGATCAGCCTTGCCTGAATATTCCCCCAAAACTGATCTCTGACCGCTGAGTCATATAAAATCCCTTCCTAGCTTTGGTCCATGTGTCATTAAAGCAGGACATCTCTCTTTGGGGAAGCGTCTCCATTCTCCTTTGCTGTCCTGGATGCTGTGGACCTTCGCTTGAGGCTGGCTGCCCTTTTGCTTCAGCCCAGTGAGGTCTGGATTTAGCAATTGTGGGATCCCCATGGAACAGGGAACAGCTGTCGGTTTGGAGGTGGAGAATCTCTCCTTCGGGGAATTTCCTGTGTGCATTTCTTACAGCTGCGCCATCGTAACTTCAAACTAGGCTACAAAACCCAGGCGTTTCAATCATCGATCTGGGTTTATTGTTAAAAGGGCCTTCAAAATGACCCTTCAATCCAGCTGACCCTCCTGGGGAGGACGATATTCAGCTGCTTCATTGGCAACAGGCAAAGAGAGAATTGAAAAGGGGGAAAAGATTAGAACAGAAATGAAGTGAAATGAAAAGGCTTTTAATGCGATAAGCACAATTTATGTTTGACTTTTTTTTTTTTGCAAGAACTTCCAGGAGATAAAGTAAATAGTTGGTGGATACAACTAGGGGGGAAAAAAGGCAAAATGTTGTTCGCTGAGTGTTTTTTTAGAGAGTGTCTCCAGCTGGGAAACACTGCCAGGATGTTTTCAACTTAATTCTAGGGTTAGGGTTAGGGTTCGGGTTAGGGTTAGAGTTTATTTATTTAGAATATTAACACTGTCACCCATTTTAAAACCTGAACTGGGTGGCTCGCAACCATAATATAAAACAATATTGATCAGTTGGGAAGCTTTGCTTCCTCCTCCTTCTCTTTCTCCTTCTCTTTTTCTCCTCGAAGCTAAGGAAGATATCGAAGAAACTGGAAAGTAGAGATTAGGAATTGATCTCTACTTGATCAAGACAAACTCATTCTAAAGATGTACCTGGAGGAGAGCCAGATAGTTTTGGCGAGCTGTGTAAACATTTCCCAAAGTCACAAAATGTTTGTACCAGTCAGTAGGAAGGACATAGAAATGGCTTTGGTGGTGCTAAGCTGTTGAGCTGGTGCCCAAATGTGGGCATCAAGTAAGAGTTGCTGGGCACTGTTTAAGGCTTTTAAAGCACTTTATGGCTAAGGACCAGGTAGTGAAGGACTTTCTTTCTCTAAATTTGCTTGTCCATAGCATGTCCTCTTGACACTTCTTCTAGAAGTTGGAGGAAAGATGGATAACTGTTAATTAAGGTCGTCTTAGGTGGACTTTTGTTATTTTGGTGCAGACACACCAACTGAGATTTTTTTTGAGGTATTTTATGGAAAATTAACACAGATACTATAATCAAGAGAGGGCGAATGGTTACATCACCAGGAAGGAATGGAATTACAAGGGTAAGTAAAAAAAAAAAGTTAATCTGGAAAGCTAGCTATGGTCTACTGGGAAAGGGTCATAATCCCTCATGGCAGACAATTCGGTAAGACCCAGGACATTTGGGCAGTTTGCACTGAAGGAGATGTCCCAGGTTGTATCTGATGCAACATTGCTCTGAAACATCTTCCAACATCTAGAGCAGTGGCTATGGCAGGAACTGTAGATGTTTTGCCTCTCAGTTAAATCTGAGCCAAGGGCTCCACCAAACATTATATTTTTTTTCAGAGGCAACACATCTCCTGCAAGCTGCTTCCACTTCTTCATGAGTAACAGATGACTTTCCGAAGGAGAAATGCACCTCTGGCATTCTTCCAGGGCTAACTTCTGAAAAAGCCAGCTTGATAAATAATACTCCAAAGCACATAGGCATAGGGAATTGGTCCTGGATATTGCAGATGTGAACCTGTGAAACTCAGCACGCACAAACACAGGGTCAGATTTGACCCATAACTATTGGCCTGTGTCCGTGTAGTAGATGAAAGGATGGGGAGATGGTCTCCTCCCACATCATGTCATCAAGATGTTTGTCCTGGAAGAAGGATTTACTACTGCCCTCACCTGTCACGTAGAAGGTCACTACCAGTACTAACACTTTGTCTTTTGGTGGTTATAGGAGCTCTGGGTCCATTATCAGCCAGGAGGGCCGGGGCAGGCTTTGCATTTGAATCAAATTCTTTATAGACTTCCCTTTGGAGAGGAAAAAATAAGGCAATTGTCAGAGAGATTTATGGGAGGCTAATGAGCTGGGTGGGTGACTTAGTCTTTAAAAAAAAAACAGCCTACGTTGACAGGAATTAAGTCTCTCTCCCTTGCTAATGAAAAATATTAATGGGAAGAGTTGGGCAACAGTTTATCAAAGATATTTTTTTATATTCTGAAAGGGGTGGAGAGGCCAGAGGAAAAAATTGTACCCAGGAAGGGATCTGGGAACTAGCAAGTTCTCAGTTGGCTGGAATTTAGATTTCCTTCCTGCCAATCTAGCTTGTTCTGCTGTGGAGTTCATGCCTAACTTCTGCCGGGGCCTTGCACCCAGGTTCAGACCTTCTGGGTTACCCAAACTGGCTTTTGGGAAATTGAAAACAAAATCTCACACGGAGAAGGCAGCTAGCTTAAGAAAGTTGGCCTACTATTAGAAGCATGGATGTAAAATTGGAGAAGAAATGACAGACAGATAGAGTGGGTGTGTTTTTCTGTCCTCTCCCTTCATGAATTAAACCTAGTTGGGGGTCTTCAGCCCCTGTTTTCTGTGTGTTTTCCCCGCTTTCACAGAGCAGGATCTGCACAACCATTGAATAACATTTGTGGTCATGGAGAGGGCTTCAGTAGCTGGGAGGAAAATGAATCTCAAGGCTGAATGCGGTTTGGGGGTGTCAGATGGCTCACCCCCCCCCCCAGAATGAGGGAACAAGATGAGGGTCTGAGGTTTTTGTAATTGTTCTGAAGGGAGTTGAAATTCCTCCACACCCGGGAGGAGCAATGGAGCAAAACGAAACATTGGCTCTAGATGTCTATCTGCTCAATTCACATTAGACAAAATGTTCCTGCTAATTTACACCATGGAGAAAGAGAACAGTAGTAGCTGGGGGGGGGAGTTGTGGAGAGAGGAAACTGGAGTCCATCATATCTGATGGAGAAAATTGATCAAAGGACATTTTCACCCGGCTGGCTGTTAAAATAATTGATTTTGCATGGTTGATTTTGACAGCGCCATGATGCTTAAGGTAGATCCTGGCATCAAATAAGTAAAATGAAACCCAGTTCCCTTATTCTTAAAACAACCCCCTTTGCCCCCCATTTTTTGTTTTGTTTTTGAATGATGATTCAAATCCTGTGTGACACAGATACACACAAAAAAAACTATTGTGGGATGCGCTCAGTAGTTGCACTGATGACTGCTGAACTAATCAAATTGTTTTGCACAAGCTATCTTTATCATTAGGGCTATGTCTTCTTTATGAAACGTGTCCTTCTTTTAGGCAGAGAGAGAACAAGTCTGAAAATATGAAGGGTCCATGAAAATCATTGCTTCATTTGCTCACTAGATAAATTGCCTTTCCTGGTTCAAAATTTTCAATCTCACGCTAAACGCTACCATTTCTGAGACTCCCAATTCTTGGCGCCTCAACCTGAGATTAACCGTAATTTCTGGAGCCTTTATATATTTGTGAGGTCTCAGGGTGAGTGAATGAGAGATACCAGCAGCTTACATTTTTTATCAGTGAGATAATACTTCTGTTTTAGATAAGTCCAGCAAGTCTGGAAGTCTCGTCAGATGTCCTCAGGGTGGTATCTGGTACATGCTTTTCCACATGTGTTATCTGTTAAACAGTAGCTTGTTTTCTGATGATAGCAAAGGGTTCTTCTCCCCCCCCCCATTCCTTTCACTGGCATTCTCTGTGGATAAATGTTGTCTTCAAGGTACAGAAAAAAAACCACCTCTTCTTCACCAAGCGATTAATGCCTTGTATTCCACATTTGGTATTTGCTGTCTGGCATCCTACAAAGCTTGCTTCAAGCCTGAGGAGATACTTGCAATGCTGGAAACCTGAAAAGTAAACAAGTAGACTGCCCCTCCCCCCAAGAATTGTCCTCTAGTTGTCCTTTTTAATATGAGAATTATGAACAAGAGAGTCTGCTGCATAACTGAGTCTAGATGGACTTGTGGTCCATGCTGAACATCTTCTGTCCTTCTGATTTCTTGAAAGCCTTCTATGACTGCATTCATCCATCCCTCTAAGCTGCAGGAGAGTAAATAGTGAATCCTATTGGGTTGGTATTTGGATGATCGGATCCAGAACTGGTCTTGAAGCTGTTGGTTGCTTGTTTTGAAACATGATAGATCATCTGCTTTCTCCTCCTCTCTCTGTCCTCAGAGGCCGAAATAAAAGCCCCATTGGGCCTGGGAAATATGGCTACGGAAAAGTTCCCTATATCCTCCCGCTGCAGACGGACACGGGACAATCGGCACACAAACCCCGCAAGCAACGTCAGTCCATGCAGCCTGCACCAAACCAACAGATGACTGGTGGCATCTCCACTTTTGCCCATCCAGGTAGCCCTTCCCATCATCATCCTGGAGGAACCTACCAAGATGACCACCAATCTTCTCCAGCCAGGTCTCAGGTTGCGAGCAGCTCTTTCTATCAACAACCGGGGTCCCATTTTCAATCCTTCCCGGCAGCATCTCGAAGTTTGTTCCAGGGCACAGAACGGGGCAGGCATCTCCCTGGAGCGCCTTATCCACCCGTCCAAGGGCAGATGTCTGCTCAGCCGGCCGCTGCAATTGTGTGCACCGGGGCCTACAAGCAGTACAGACTCTGCAATACGAACGTAAGTTTGTCCTTTGTGCTCCGACCTTTCCACGCCTTCTTCCACAAATTCTTGTTTTGAGCTTAGGAGTTTTGCCGAGAAGAAAGGAAGCACACTGGACCTCTTGGGTGATCTGAATTGGATTGGCTTGAATTGAATACTTTATTTGGCCAAGTGTGATGAAAGACACAAGGAATTTGTCTCCGGTACAGAAGCTCTCAGTGTACATGCAAAGCAACAGAGAGAATAACAATAATACAGGTAGACTTTGACTTACGACTACAAATTTTGAGCCCAAAATTTCTGTTGCTAAGCTAGACAGTTGTTAAGTGAGTTTTGCCCTATTTTATTGTTAAGCAAATCACTGCCGTTTTTAAGTTAGTAACAGGGTTGTTAAGCGAATCTGGCTTCCCCATTGACTTTGCTGGTCAAAAGATCATAAAAGGACATCATGTGACCCCAGGATACTGCAGCCGTCATCAATATTAAGCAGTTGCCAACCATCTGAATTTTGATCACATGACCACAGAGATGCTGCAGCGGTTGTAAGTGTGAAAAAAGGTCATAAGTCACTTTTTTCAGTGTTAATGTGTTGAATAGTCACTAAATGAATTGTTTAAGTCAAGGACTAACTGTACCAATAAAAGGGGGAAGTAAAGACGATAATAATAATAATAAGAAATAGGAATAATACTACAGCTATACTACATGGGTAAATATGCATAGACCTTAGTACTTAGGTGTTCAGCAGAGTGATGGCAAGAGGGAAAAACTGTCCCTGTGTCTAGTTGTCTTGGCATATGATCAGTGGTGGGATTCAGCCGGTTTGCATCACTTTGGCAGAACCGGTAGCTAATTTTTTGTTGCCCAGGACCAGAATGGACTTCCAGAAGCGGCATCCACGCAGAGAACTGGTTGTTCACATATTTGAATCCCACCACTGCATACGATGCTCTGTAGCCGTGGTGGCGAACCTATGGCACGCATGCCACAGGTGGCACGCAGAGCCCTCTCTGTGGGCACGCACGCCATCACCCCAGTCCTAGACCTTCAGCTGGGTTTTATAAAACCTTTTCGCTTTAGGCCTTCACTGCTATGTGCAAAAAAAAAAAAAAGGTTCAATCAATCAATTTTAACTTCTCGCGGGGAAAAAAAAGATTTCGCAAAATTGAAATTGATTGATTGAACTTTTTAGTCCCACCCAGTCTGCCATTACCACCACAGCCATGCCCACCCAATGGGCCACACCCACCCAATGGGCCACGCCCAATTGGCACCCCACGATACATAAGTGGGATTTTGGTTGCAGTTTGGGCACTCGGTCTCTAAAAGGTTCGCCATCACTGCTCTATAGCGCCATCCTGAGGGAAGGAGGTGAAATAGTTTATGTCCAGAATGTGAGGGATCTACAGATATCTTCTCAACCCTCCTTCTGTCTTGCGCAATATACAGGTCTCCTATCTGAATATTTGTCCAGAGCATTACAAAGTTTCTCATGTTATTTTTTTTTATTATTATTTTTTCAAGTGAACACAGCTCCTTTCTGTCTCCACTTCCCCTGCACTCTTCTTCCTTATTAAAAACATCTTTAAGAAAATAGTTATGGGGCAACCCATCATGGTTTCAGCTGCTACCCAGTTGGGTGTCATGACCTCACTGTGCCCTAGATGAATAGTTTAAACACCAAATCATAAAAAGAGAGGGAGGTGGGCTTGCACCGGACCCTGGAAAATCTACTGTGTTTATCCACCTTCTGCATGATCTCCCAGAACATACATTTAGGCAGTAATTTAATTTATTAGCCAAAATATTTTAAGGGCTCCTGCTAGCATGCAGAGAACACCATTTTTTTCTTTTATTTGGAACATTCTCTGTGGTTAATATAATTTATCGGGGGGGGGGGAAGAGCTCTCTTAATTGGAATTGTAGTGTTGGGTCACTTCCCCTTATGGATTCTGGTTGGGGCAGTTAATTAATAACAAATTAACTCAATCTGCTTTTCTCCATTAGGTCATTTCCTTGCGGTTATAGTTTTAATGTTTTTTTCATGTAGAGCAGAACTCATTTTTCATGAGTGACATGTTGGATCATATACAGTTTCAGCTTAGACGGTTTGGTTTACATGCTTCTGAAAACACATTTAAAGATCAGGGCTCTCTGGAAGGGTGAGGTTTTTTTTTTTTAATTAAGATTAATCGTCCATTGTTTTAGAAACACTTGAAGTTATATTAGGCGCAGGGCAAGAACTGTCTGATCAGTCACCATTTGATAAATAAGACTCAGTGGGATGCTCAATTGGAAGGGGATGGAATAATTAAAGCAAATAAAAGCATTTAGAAAGAGCTGCAAAAATAGACGGGAATGTTGTTGCTTGCCAGATGTGAAGATGTGTCCCTGCATGGGAAAAAATTCATTGTGGTACATACAAGGCTGGGTTGCTGGTTGAGTTCCAGAACAATGTACAATGCATGTAGGATTGTTCATTCATTTCCTTGCTGGCTAAGAAACAGTAGTTTTGAGAACCCAAATAGACCTAACTGGGTCTATAGACCCAAACTGGAACCAATGAAATGCAATTAGACATGAGCTTGCAGAACCTGTTGGCCATATGAGGTGGTCCAGACAGGAAGCATGGGAAGATGATCTAATTCTACATTACATTAACAGAATCTTTCAAGTCTGAAAGTACTCCCCCCCTCTTATAGTTGAGAAACTAGGGAGGCCCCTTCTGAAATGTTTGCTGCATCCCCATTCCTTCTGCCGGCTCAGTGGCCTCTTATCTTCCCTTGGCTGTGTTCTTCCTCTGTCTCCCAAGGTCATTCACACATACCATTATAGCATTCTTCTGCTTGTGCTTCAGCCCAACTAAATTTGTGAAATGATATATAGACGTCTTGAGTTATAACTAAGACCTTCCCTGCAACCATCAAACGTCTACCGTATTGACTCATTCCAGTTCTCCTCTCCATTTTGTGGGCCTGAATTCCATGGGTGAGCTTGATGCTATGTAGAGGCTCGCTTTTCTTGACTTGATGGCAGGATCTAAGAGGGCAAGAACATGAGGGAAACTGACCAACATCACTTTCCTTCCCCTCCAAAACAATGCAACATTTATTTCGCGTTCTTGGAATTGTCGACAGAACCACACAGCTCATCCAAGAATATTATCTGAAATGTTGGGAGAGGGGTCTAAGAATGGGTGGATTGAGGTAGAACCAAGCTATTACGATAGCTAACTTTCAGGAATGTCTTTTCCTGAGATGGAGATAGGCCATCAAAACGGAGGAGGGGGAAGGAATCTCTTTTCTAACAGCTGTGTGCTTCCTCCTCCTTCTGTCTTCTGAAATGAGAATTAAAATCAAAATGGTGCTCCAAAGAAACTGTTCTTTTAAAAACACAATGAAGTAGGGCTAGATCAGATCCCACCCTCTGTAGGTCCCTTCAAACCACCCCACTGAATACCCAGACATTGTCCTTTGACTTTACCCCCATTTGTTTCTCTTCTGCCTTGGCTTTTGATGCTACACTTCTGATTTCTCTGAAATATTTTCCTGTCCACCTGTAAAGTTCATGACCTTCTCCAATATTTATAGCAGGGCCTGGATCTTCTGTGCCCCTTTGTTTGGCTGATGTGGACCTCCTTGATTTTTCCCCCAATTATTTCTCAATCAACCCAGCCCTTCCATCTGTGAATTCTCTCAACAGCCTGTATGTTTTGTGGGTTCACTGCAAACAATATGGACTCTTGGGAGGAGCTTTATGGACCTTCCCCCCCTTCCCACTTAGAGTGGAGGGGTTTGATTTCTCGGCCAGATCTTCATCTCAGCATCTCAAGTTTCCTCTTTCAGCCCTTTGGCCCAGCCAGGAGTTTCCAATTACAAATCATTGACTTTGCAAATGGCTTTAATCCATGTTCTATTTAAGCATGGACATTCAACCCAGATTTAAGCCATACGTTTTGGGACAGAGAGCTTTGTCTTTCTTTTCTTTGCTTCATTAGCCTCTTTTCTGCCTCTTTTTGTCCTCCACACATTCAATTTAATAACTATAATACACCTTATGTTTTCCCTCACTGTATAATCACCAGGTCTCCTTTTTTTTCCTTTTAATTTTTTCTGTGGCTCTTGAGATTTTCCGTATCTCATGATTAAAAACAATTAAACTAAGAACAACAACAACAACAATAATACTTTCCCCTCCAAATTAGCTTGGAACCAAAAGAGGCAAAAAAAAGGCTATCATAAGGAAAACAACAATTGCAGATGCTCTGTTATATCAAGACTTAGCATGATTTTAAGTTCTTATTCCAGGAGATGAGGGCCCTGGTCCTCTTAAATTCCAAATAATGTGGTTAATGTATCTTTCCCACAACTTATTTTACAGGCCTGCCTTGAGAACAGAAACATCAGAGAGGTGCAATGTGCGTCGTACAACAACAAGCCATTTATGGGCCGTTTCTACGAGTGGGAGCCATTTGCTGAAGGTAAGAAGGCACGTCTGTGGCTTGGTCGAAAACGTGTGTCCACCCTCCTTCCCTTTTGTGATGTTGTTCACTGTGGAGGGTAGCGGTGGATGGGAATATTTAAATATTTCATCTCCCATCTTATTCTCTACCAATCCTCATGGAAACTGAAATGAGGACCTTCTTGCAAATGGGCCTTATCTGTCATGGTTGAACCTGGTTATTCTTGGCCCCCGTTTTGTGAATGCCCAAATGGCATAGGGTAGTTTGAATAACAGAAGAACAGAGTTGGAAGGGACTTTGGATGTCTTCTAGTCCAACCCCCTGCCTTTGCAGGAGACCCTGCATGGCTGTCCAATCTCTTCTTAATAACCTCCAGTGATGGAGCATCCACAACTCCTGAAGGCAAGTTGTTCCATTGGTTGATTGCCCTCACTGTCAGGAAAGTTCTTCTTAGTTCTAGGTTGCTTCCCTCCTTCATTAGTTCCCATCCGTTGCTTCTGGCCTTCTGGTGCTTTGGAGAGTAGTTTGACCCCCTCTTCTTTGTGGCAGCCCCTCCAATATTGGAACTTTGCTATCATGTCACCCCTGCTCCTTCTCTTCATTAGACTTGGCATACCCGGTTCCCTCAAGTGTTCATCATTTGTTTCAGTCTCCAGAGCCCTAACCATCTTTGTTGCAGCTGATTGTGGTGAGAAAGGGCAAACCCGCTCTTTGATGTGACTGTGGAATAGGAGGAGGAGGAAATTCAGAATGAGGGCCCAAGCATGAGAAACTGTCAACCCACCCCCTACCCCCAGCCTCTGAGGACACCTTGTAGAATCATTTTCATAGCATTTCCTACAGGAATGAGCAGAGCTTTGCTTCGAAAGCTCGTGAAAATGTCCTAAGTTGAGGACTACCTATAAAAGCATTCCTTCTGTCTGCTTTGGCATTTGG